AGACCGATGCTTGCTCAGGTCTGCATGTGGTTGAAGAATTTGTGGGAAAAAGTAAGAACTGATATAGCGATTAAGTCATTTAAGAAATGTGGTATCAGTAACACAATGGATGGGACGAAAGATGACATTCTCTTTGACCATAATATTGGATCCAACGATTCCTTTCCAAGCGACACTGAAAGCAATGAATATTTTGTAGGTTTTGAACCAAACTAAATATAAGTAAACCTTTTTTTTTTATTTACGTTATTTTCTTATTTTGAGCTCTTTTGTGTTTAGAACAATATATACTAATTTTTAAAGTATCAAATTGAATTTTTGTTCAAGAAAAATCTTTCAAATGCGACTGTAGCTTTTTTCCCCAAAACTTGGTCTTCAAAATAAGGGTGCGTCTTATATTCCGAAAAATACAGTACGTTTAATAACTTTGATCTTTTTCTTTCCACAGAGTGGTTCGGGAAAACATTGTCCTGATCAGTCGAGCATTCCGCCACCATTTTGTAATTCCCGACTTCCAAGACTTCATCAAAATCATCAAAGATTTTTACTGGAAGTGTAAAGTTAATACTAGAGGGAAGGTAATGTAATGGTTTCTGTTTGTCTATACTGGAAGGAAGGTAATGTAATGTTTTCTGTTTGTCTATACTGGAGACAAGGTAATGTAATGTTTTCTGTTTGTCTATACCGGAAGGAAGGTAATGTAATAGTTTCTGTTTGTCTATACTAGAGGGAAGGTAATGTAATGGTTTCTATTTGTCTATGCTAGAGGGAAGGTGATGTAATAGTTTCTGTTTGTCTATACTAGAGGGAAGGTAATGTAATGGTTTCTGTTTGTCTATACCGGAAGGAAGGTAATGTAATGGTTTCTGTTTGTCTATACTGGAAGGAAGGTAATGTAATGGTTTCTGTTTGTCTATACCGGAAGGAAGGTAATGTAATGTTTTCTGTTTGTCTATACTGGAGACAAAGTAATGTAATGTTTTCTGTTTGTCTATACCGGAAGGAAGGTAATGTAATAGTTTCTGTCTGTCTATACTAGAGGGAAGGTAATGTAATGGTTTCTGTTTGTCTATACTGGAGGGAAGGTAATGTAATGGTTTCTGTTTGTCTATACTGGAAGGAAGGT